CATTCAACATAAGTTGTGTTTCTTTAGAAATCAAAAGAACATGTATAAACGCATATTAGTAAAAATATTATGTCAACATAGAGCTTTGGAGCCAATTCAATATCTTGCACCGTCTGGTTTCTGTTTCACGGCTGATGTTTATTAGTCGCCTCTAGACCAATAAACGTTGGCAGGTTTTATTATACAGATTTGATATAAATTAAAATAAGCAAAAATATCCAGTCTGAATGCAGCGACTTCCTGCTGCAAGATGTATTGACAGCAGTGGTTATGAAATGTTTGGGCACGACTGTAAAGAAAGCATTTATAGGAAATGGACGACGCTTCTTTTCTTTATAAGATATGTATCTAAGTGTGTATATTTTTATTGAAATATGTTCACAGATTTCCTGTAAAGCTCCTGTTTCCAGAAAAACAGAATCTCACCTTCACTTCTAAAGAAACACAACTTATGTTGGCATCTGATCTTTCAGGCTTGAGATCAGCTGATATATTTAATTTGAAGGCACGATGAGCAATGCCTTGTTAATCAGATAAATACTAAAACAAACAGGAGAGAAGTATTCAAAAAATGGGGCGGTTCCTGTCGTAGTTTGTAATAAAAGGCCTCATCTGAAGGTTCGCTCAGCTGCACCTGCTGGAACTCTTGACAGGTAAGAAACCAGATTGTTAATCTGCCTCTATGTAGTATTTGGAAAAATGTTCTCTGTTCATCTAATATCTTATTTTTAAGTTCACATCCAGCTGAAATCATTTTGGCAGTTTTGAAAGACGTCCACTTCTAAACCCTTTAGTCCTTTAAACTGTGATTGACTGTTGAGCCCATTTAATGTAAGATCAACTCGTTTGGTTAAATATGTTTTTCCATCATGAAAGAATCATGTTTACTACAAACATGGCTTCACAGGCATCGCAGCTCATCATGACCCGGAATCACAGCATTACATTTCAGTGAACCAAAGGGAGGGTTGTGACCCGTTTGTGGTTGGAGTCGTCATGGAGAGAAGGTTTAGGACAGGATAACCCGTGCCTGAGACTATTTCCACTTCTCACCTGAAATTGTTTTTCCCCTGTTGTGTGTGTTCTTGTGAATCTGCTGGCTCAGATGGTTTTAGGGGTGACAGCAAATTGTCTGATGATTTATTGATATGTCCAGGATGTGTGTTTTCAGGACCAGCAGACGTTTTAACAACAGCTGCGCTGTCGAATCGCTTTCATTCAAGAAAATATTGCATTTTTTTAAAAACGACAAACCTTTATCAGCTTCATTTGTCCGTCTTTAAATTTATCATGCAGCTATTGTGCATGAATGCGTTGACTAATTCAGTATAGAGAATACCAATGTGTGGCTGCGTTTAATAACTTAAATATTCGTTTTATTATGACCATTATTAGTCTAATACCCAGAAGCAGTTTTGGTTGAGTAATCAACCATTTCTCCTTTCATTTCTTTTGTTAAATTTTTAGGTTATTCACCTATTCATCAAACTACCTTCTAGCCTTTTGTCATGGTATGGACCTTCACATTTTTAGCTTTATATTATAAGCCTCGGAACATAAAAGTCAAAAATTGAAAGACTTCTTTCATTGAGTCAATGCAATTTCCATTTGAGTGCTCTAGTCACATGGTCCAATCATTCTGCTTCCTCATAGCAAGATTTCATTAAAAGAAATCTAAAAAATGTCTCAGCCTGATTGAGAAACACTACTCTGAACATATCAGTACGTAGCATCTTAATCTGTTTAACGCAGTCTGCTTTGGGAATTTACTGCAGTTATGAAGAACAATACATATATGGCAACACATATTTTGCTTCAGTACATGAAGGGAGCTTCTAGATACGTTATTCATGAGATCTTTGACAGCTGGAGGGCTGGTCCTTATCTGTCTGCGTTTCCGGGACAGGCTCTTCTGTAAAACTGTCATAAGGTAAATGCAGATAGGCAATTTAAAATGCAATTCATTTCAGAAATGATTGAAATTCACAGAAGAAATTTCAAAGACGCTCAATATTCTGCCTGGAGGTTCTGAGCCTTTTTCTCTTCCAGCCTGAGAACATATTTCCCATTTAGTTTCTTTTTTTGCACCAGTTAGTACAATTATTATTTGATGAATGCATTTATATTTTTCAAAGTGTCTGACAATCTTCTCTGATTTCCAAGCACTAAGAAGACATCTCTTCCTTTTGGAGAGGCCACAATGGAAAGTAACTCAGGAGAAAGCGTGACCCCTGACCGCAGCGCCTCTGAACATTCATTTCTTTTTCACAAACCACGCATCTCTGCCTATGTGCAAAACAAGCCAGTGTCCACCAACACCAGGCTGTTTTCGGTGTTGGCCTTGCTGAATGCACACAATCCGGAGTCCAAGCTGGACTTTCAAGACTGTCAACAAATCCTCGGACCGCCTGATCCCAGCCATGGAGAACCTCCCTTTGAGAAAAGAATGGAGCCTTTTTCCTGCCTCATCACGGTGTCCAGTCAAGCCGTGCATGTGATAAACACAGATATAGCCAAGAGCTGTTTGGAGCTATTAGCTGACCTGAAACATTAGCAAAAATGCTATAGTGAAGGATTGCATAGAATTACTCTGTGGGGATAAAGTCCAACCGCACACAGTCAGTTCCCTCAGAAATGTTCTGACAGGGAGCAATGTGGTGGAAACCAGCAAAGACGTGTCCTTACGTCTGACTAAAGAAATAATGGGGAAAGAGAGCATGGCGGCGCCAAACGACGACTACAGAAAGCAGCTCAGACAGAACCGAGACCTCGACTGTTAATCTGAAGTCATTCTTGGACTTCTTTTTTGGTCTTTTTAAATCAGACATATTTGAATATGTTGAAAGCTTCCCAGATTCCAACAACACAAAGTTGTTCTCTATCTTGGCGCTGTTGAACGTTTATGTTCCAGAGTCCTACCTGGTTCTGGAAGACCCCCAACAGATCTTCGACGATCCACTTGAGGAAAAATTGAAGCCATTTCTCAGTTGTGACAGAGCACAAAGTCAACGTGTGTTCATGATTCACCCAGATATTGCAAACAGATCTTTGGAGCAAACTGGTTGCCCTGAAGATTTCCAGAAGTTTCATCGCATCCAACTGTATAGTTTCACTTTGCGGAGACCAAGGCCATCATGGCTTAGTCAAATTGATGAAAAAGCTACTGGTAGAGAGAGAAAAGAGGGAGAATGGCAAAATGAAGTTCTCAACATTGATAGAAGACATATTGAATATAGAGAGTTCTTCTGAAGCTCTTGATGTATTAAAACTGGCTTCCCAGAAATTTCAAGACATTTTCATCTATCCTCAAACAATTGCTCGCTTGTATTATCAACATGACATAAACTATAACGAAGCAGAACAATGGGCAAAAGAAGCTATCAAGAGAGATTTGAAAAATTCCTTTACTGCTGATACCCTTGGACAGGTGTATAAGAACTGGTTAAAGGAAAAATTCACATTACCCAGGGAAGTAAATAATATGGCAGAGAAAGCCTTCGAGGCCTTCAGAGATGTGGAGAAGAAAGCCGAGAATGAATGTGCCGATGAAACAAATTCGTTCAACAACCGAGGCCATTTTGGTTTCATTCAAGTGGCCAAGATCGTCTCTCAGAAACATGAACATAATCCATTTGAGGACACCCACAAATTGGCAGTTGAAGACAAGTTTGAGTTCTTTGAGTGGTATCTCAGCTACTCGCAGCCTGACAGGACAACAGCGGAACCAGATTACTTTTGGGAAGATGTCGCCAGCTGCTATCAACTATACACGACGAAAAACGCAGCCGATTCCACCAGCTTCCCTGCTCTTCTCGATTGCCTGAATCACGGCCTTTCCGTGTCGAAGGAAAAACGAGCTTTCAAGGCTGAGGTTACTGAGAAAACACGGCCACAGCTGGAGCAAACCCGAGATGAGTTAAAGACCGCCTATGAGGCAAATGTAGATGACGTGAAAGTGGCAGAGAGGTACATCCTTTCAAACATCATCTTGAACAACAAAGGGCCCTGCTCTCCTCAACGCGCCCTGGTTAGAGAACTTCAGGCGATCCTACAGAGGTTTCTACCCACCGGGGCAAACAGTAGAGACCCAGAGTTTTACCTTTTGGTCCTGATGTTGTTTTGGCCAGAGGAGCATCTAAAGGCAGGCCAAGAAAACAGTGCCGAAGAATTACGAGAACCTGAAACAGACAAGGATCAGCTTCAAGAACAAACTACAGAGGAAGCAGATGTAAAAGAGAAGGACACAGGAGAAGAATCTGAGCAGCTCCTTCCTGGCCTCATATATGAATTCGACATAGAAGAATATGTCGCCTTGATGGAAAAAGCCTATGATAAGGTCTACGCCAAATACCTTCGAGGTCGTTACTTGCTGCCACTGTTTTTTCTAGGGAAGGGCTCAGGACTTAGCCGATGGATCCACAAGTCCAGACTGGACGAGGTGGTGGAAGTCATGGTGGACACTCAGCTCGCCAATGAACCAAGGGACACAAATAGGAACCAAATGAAATGGAAGAAAATCAACGAGATGTGGAGTAGTGGGAAGGTGTGGCAGCTGCCGCAAATCCAAGAGATACTTCAGCCACTCCCACGCTCAGTCATGACTTTTACAGTGCAGCCGAAGGTTGTGACTGTTACTGTTGGAGGGAAGAAAATGCAAGCCAGAACAGAGTGTAAATCTGGCACTCAGGCAAAGACCACCGTGTATTTTTATCTTGGCTTTGACATCAGGGGTCCTGTCGTCTTCAAAGTACCAGCTGCAGGAGGGACCTTCGAGGGCCCTTGAAGACGCCTTGAAGATTTCCAAACAAAGAGACAAGGCGACAAAAAAACACTGCTTTGAATCAGAAAGCATTATTCAAACATTCTTTTTTTTAATTATTTTAATGAATGTCCTACATATTTCTGATCTTGCTTTTTAATCACATGATGAGATATGTTAGTGACATAATGTGTTATGCTTTTATTGACTTTTGATAATGCCAACAAGTGTGTTGAACAGCTTTTATTACTTATCTTATGCATGAATTTCATACTCATGCTTTTGGCCTGGACTCATTGAAAGTTGTTTTTGTTCCATAAATCTGAGTTGCTCATTAACTGGATCTTTGTGTGTCATTACCTTCAGTGTGAAAGACTTTTTTCCTTTTCAAAACTTTATGGGTGGTTCAGTGTTCATATTATAAAACATCACTATAGTTTTAGTATCTTTATACAGAAAGGGGAATAATCAGAGTAAATCAAAATAATCAAATTCATATATGAATTATGAAATTGCTCACAAGCTCCTTTAGTGCTGCTGAATTTTGGGTTCTGGACAAAATTGTGAGAAATTGCCGATTAAAAATCTTCCATTTTCAAGAGCTGTATTTTTATGTAGTGCAGTTACATTTGAAAACGGCTTTTTCTGGCAATAAAATGATGAAATGTGGGAATAGTGGTATCAATTCAGACATTTTGTCAATAAATAAGTGGAAACAATGTCTTAAAGTTTGATGTGTGGCTCTTAAAAGAGCCTTTGTGTTGTTGCAGCTGCTGCAGCTTCTAAGCTCTCTCTCCGCGGATGCGGCGGGCCAGCTGTATGTCTTTGGGCATGATGGTGACCCTCTTGGCATGGATGGCGCACAGGTTGGTGTCCTCGAACAGCCCCACCAGGTAGGCCTCGCTGGCCTCCTGCAGAGCCATGACGGCGGAGCTCTGGAAGCGCAGGTCAGTCTTGAAGTCCTGAGCGATCTCTCGGACCAGACGCTGGAAGGGCAGCTTGCGGATGAGCAGCTCCGTGGACTTCTGGTAGCGGCGGATCTCTCTCAGAGCCACGGTACCGGGCCTGTAGCGGTGAGGCTTCTTCACGCCGCCGGTCGCCGGAGCGCTCTTCCTGGCCGCCTTGGTGGCCAGCTGCTTCCTGGGGGCTTTGCCTCCGGTGGATTTACGGGCGGTCTGCTTGGTTCTGGCCATGTTCTGCTGCTCCGATCGGGACCCAGAGAGAAAACCAAATGTTGCGACCCGCCGACGCTCCGCTGCTCTTAAGCTCAGGCTCTGGGCGTCGCTCTGTGACGCTGCAGCTCCGCTCCGGATCCTGGTTGGTCGGCGGCTCCTCCTGCAGCTCAGCCCCGCCCAGAGGCGTGGATCACGTCTGAATGCCCGCCGCTCATTGAACGACGCCGCGTTCAAAAAGTCCTCCTCTCCGTCCCGCTCTGCCGGGAGCTTTTCTGATTGGTCGCCGGCATCGTCCCGCTCCTCTGCGCGGACATATAAAGCCGCTTTCAGCCGCTGCTGCTCATATTTCTCGAGTCTCGTCTCCAGAAACAAACAACAACAGCAAAATGAGCGGCCGCGGAAAGACCGGAGGAAAAGCCCGAGCCAAGGCCAAGACCCGCTCCTCCAGAGCCGGACTCCAGTTCCCGGTGGGTCGCGTTCACAGGCTGCTGCGCAAAGGCAACTACGGCGAGCGGGTCGGTGCCGGAGCCCCCGTCTATCTGGCCGCCGTGCTCGAGTATCTGACCGCTGAGATCCTGGAGCTGGCCGGGAACGCCGCCCGCGACAACAAGAAGACCCGCATCATCCCGCGTCACCTGCAGCTGGCCGTGCGCAACGACGAGGAGCTCAACAAGCTGCTGGGTGGAGTCACCATCGCTCAGGGTGGAGTGCTGCCCAACATACAGGCGGTGCTGCTGCCCAAGAAGACCGAGAAGGCCGCTAAGGCCAAGTAGACAAACCCAGACACCCCGCTGCGCTGGAAACTAAACAACCAAAGGCTCTTTTAAGAGCCACACACTAAACTGGAAGAGCTCAGACTCATGCTGACTTTACTAACATCATAAACACCCAATTTTCTCAAACATTACTATAGAATTATGAATATTGTCTTAGTGGGACAAATTACTAAACCACCACTGACTTCATGTTCATAAAGTCACATTTCATTTCATTCACCAGTGAAATGTTGGAATAAAAAGTGATTCTGGTTCTGAACTACAATCTCAGCCACTTCACTTCTTTACCAAAGTCAAATTTTTGGATTATACAAATTAATGTAACGCTACAGTTAACAGTTACATCATGTTTTAATGAGCAGTATGTAGTCTGAGGCAAACTCATGCTCTTAAATTGTTTGCAGACATGAATTTCACTGTATAAAAAGTTTCTGAGACACTTAGGAAATCAGGTAACTGTATAACGGATCAGATTTCTGTAGGTGCTCATCAAATATTAAACTGATTAGAACTAATCACTCATAATTGATTTTTTTATTGATTTTTTGATAAGTTTACATTGCAAAAAAATAAAATGAAGAATGAAACGCTATTCCACAATCTGATAATGAGATGAATAAAATGCTAATTTTTGCCATTCAGTCCATAATGTAGCAGAATATAATATAAATATCCACTGTTGATTCACATCCACTCAACATAAACACGTGATTACGCAACAGTCCTATCAATAAGACAATGGAGGCTTCTGTCATTTTACTTTTGAAAGCTCTTCAGTTTCACTAAATACCGACATTCAATTCATTTCATTGTTTCTCAACTGAAACACGAGATTTCTCTCTTTACTTTCCTCTTGATTGTATTAAAAACTTATCAGGGGCATCACTTATTTTCATCCTCTCAAAATGAATTCGTGAATTGCCGAAGGAAAACTTGGTTTAAAGAAACGGCAGAGAAAACCAGGAGCGAGCTCGACTCCGCCCCTGTTCTCTCTCAGGTCCGCAGGTCTCCCATATAGCCTCTGTTTCCTCCTCCTGACCCTCATCGTCTCTTCAGACTCTTGTAGATCAACATGAGCGGCAGAGGAAAGGGAGGTAAAGGACTCGGTAAAGGAGGCGCCAAGCGCCACCGGAAAGTCCTCCGTGACAACATCCAGGAATCACCAAGCCCGCCATCCGCCGTCTGGCTCGCCGCGGGGGAGTCAAGCGCATCTCCGGCCTCATCTACGAGGAGACCCGCGGTGTGCTCAAGGTCTTCCTGGAGAATGTCATCCGTGACGCCGTCACCTACACAGAGCACGCCAAGAGGAAGACCGTCACCGCCATGGACGTGGTCTACGCTCTCAAGAGGCAGGGCCGCACTCTGTACGGCTTCGGGGGTTAAACTCGCAACCTCTGCACAAAACAAACCAACTAAACAAAGGTCCTTTTCAGGGCCACACACATGACTTTTAAGCAGCTAATTCCCTGTCAAATGTGTCCCAACAAGATGCTGGTGCAATAAATGATTAATTATTAAAGTTACATTTCATATACTTAATGCAGATGACGTAATGGTGTAAACGTCAAGTGCAACAAATAATCACAAAAAACCTGCAATCGACTCTCAAAAGTTAAATGTAGGGATGGAAATGAAGCTGCTCCACTGCGCCCTCAAGTGGACATGCAGCCACTATAATGACGTCCTCCAGGTGTATTTCATGAAGCTTCTCACTGAATCTTTGATGCCGATACGCAACTTTTCGACACTGTTTTAATCTTTAATTTAAAGGCTGGACCAAAAGACTTTAAATTTGGTCCAGCCTTTATTACAGCTGCAAAATGTCTTAAAACTCAACTTTTCACTGACTGGGCTGAGATGTTTCTCTGCTTTGAGGAAATTTCACCTGCTGTAGAAAATATTAGTTAGCCAATATGGAAAATGTAACATTATACAAGTTGAAATAAACCTTTTTCTGTCTTTCCCAACAGTCGGGGGATTCTCCAGTTTTCTAAAGTTACCATGTCTTTGTGTTCAAACCTTTCTAAATGCTTTTGAAAGGCTCTAATGCTCCTGCATTGAGGTCTCATCTTATCAAAGGTCATTTCAACACCACAGGCGCCTCACCTTCAGTAATTACAACGCGTCATCTGCCGTGTTGCTGTTTTTAGACACCATCTATAATTTTATGCAAAGATTATTGGGAGACATGATAAAAACCCTCCTGGATTATTGACACAGCAGCTTTCAGGTTGTTTTGGTTTGGGGGGAAAACCAGGTGTAAATATGATGGGAAGCCACTGGAGCAGCTTTCAGTGCAGATGGTAAAAACAATTTAAAGGCAATTTTGCAGCCTTCTAAACCAGCTTTACATGTGCTGACATGAAACCTCTTCATGCATTTCCTTCATGCTGTATAGTCCATTTAAAGTATTTGGACATTTTTTTTCAACAAAAAATTTTCAAACCAAATGATTTGGTTTGAATATTGCCTTTCACGCAAATGAAAGGCAATCATTTTGCTTTCATTTGCGAAGAAACACAACTCATTCAGCGGCCAATCCTTTCAAGTTGAGCTATTAATAACCGAGGCACGTTTGAGTCAGACATATGGAAACCAGGGAAGGAATGCGTTGTAACATGAAACTCACGTCATCATTGAGATCGAGAAATTGAAACCATGGGGAGGGTGTGGTTAAATCTGATTATAAATAACATCATTCTACTGTTCAGTCACCTGCACACCTGCTGGAACTCTGACAGGTAAGATGATTGAAGAGTGTGTGTGATTATTTATCTCTGTGGGTAAAGGATAAATGTTTGTGTCATATTTTTGATTACTGTCAAATCATACATATATATATTTGTATAGCCAATCATTGAATATGATCAAAAACAATTTAAATAGTCTGTGTATGAGAAATTGTAATATTCGATTTGTAACAGTACAAATAAATATATATATATATATATATATATATATATATATATATATATGTGTGTGTGTGTGTGTGTGTGTGTGTGTGTGTGTGTGTGTGTGTGTGTGTGTGTGTGTACATTTGTAGCACTTTCTGGCTACAAATGTAATAAACATATATTGTAAAAAGAAGTATTATTACAAACGTTACAAATCCTCTGGTCATACTCATTTTACAAGTAAGTGGATCCTGAAGCATTGGAGATGAATGAATGAATGAACAAACTTCATATGTTATTTCTATGCAATGCACAGAAACAAAACCGAGCTTCACAGATCCACAGACAAGGATATAAAAAAATAAATAAATATACTATAACCCAACTCTGCATGCCACATCTTTGTTGTTGTGAGGGGAAAAAAGTTATTTAAATGTCCTTCTGTATTTTTTCCCCAAACGACAGGAGTAATTGCTGTGAGCGGTATGTTAAGACGCCATCTTCTCTCTGTAAATGCCCTGCAGACGAGGCACTGATTGTTTTTTTCAGCAGTTCTCATTGCCAGACTCTTTCTGCTGTGTTGTTGTTAATGTGAGGACGCTTCCAGTGTCGCATCTGCAGAATGCTGTGTTGCGCAACGAATAACTGTAAATGCCAAGCAAAGGTGATTGTTAATGTCATTAATTCTATTCAGGATTACCAAGGTAGGGCAACACCTGATAATCTGGAATGCAAAACTTAACAGCTGACAGACTTTATGAACACCTGTTTGGGTATTCATGAAGATGGATATTATAAACAATAGATGGAGTGAACTCACTACATGCTTATTCAAATCATTGCCACTCCAAAGTACAAGAATTTGTCAGCATACCTTAACTTCTGGTTAAGATGCTTATGTCGATAAGCTCTAACTGGACTGGTGACATTCATCTGAACCAGAGGTTCCTGAACCCGTTCCTCAAGTACCCCTGCAGAAGCCATCACCCATTCGTTTAAGTGAGGCGTTTGGAAGCAAGGAGACACCTGCAACTTGCAGGACAGGAGTAACTGGAGACCAGGTTTGGAAACCACTGATCCAAACTACTAAGTAAAACTGAAAAGAATGAGGAAAACTAATAAATCTTGCTTTGGATCCAAGGTTTGTCTCACAAGAAAATCATGATTTCTTGATGTCAGATGGACCTCCAGGAACCTACAACTGGTGTTGCGAACACTTTCATGATTTTTAATAATATAGGGTCATATTGTTCATTGATCACAAGACTTTTATGCAAAATGACTCATCATTGCTTGTAATGAGTCTGAACACACCGGATGATGAAATTAGTTGACAAATTCCTTCTTTCCTGGGTGTGTCAGCATATTATGGAGAAGGGTGGAGATTTTCAGTAAGACTTTAGGCAAACTTTAGGCAAATGGTAGGCAAACTGAAACTAGCCCTGATTAGTGACAATGTGTAGTGTGATTATTCCAAACATTTCTTCAATATCACCTGGATGGTAAAATTCATGAAGATGGATTTGGCTTGGACAGAGGAAAGGTGACGACAGTCTTTGGACAGGTTGGCACTTTGGCTTGGCTAAGAAAAAAATGATAAATATGTCAGGAAATGTATTAATTAGCTGTTCAAAAAAGGCTCTCAACACAGTCTGAGTGATGTGATCTGGACCATTCTGTGGGCTTGATATTCTGGGTTCAGTTTGTTAGAGCAGAAATACTTCACAATACTCCAATAACTTCCAACACTTTAATCTCACTATGTCTTGTTATTTTGAATACTTATGATAAAGAACCTTGTCTCTTCTGCTTTCAGGATTTCAAACTGTGCTGAAACAACCTTTTCAAGCAGAAGCAACACAAACAAAAGACCCTTCTGTTTGACGTGACCATCATGGACAGTAACTCAGGAGAAGATATGAACTATGTCCTTAGGCTTGATGAAAGAAATAGTCTATATTATCGTTGTGAACCGTACATTTCTGCACATGTGCAGATCCACCCAATGTCCACCAACACAAAATTGTTCTCAATGTTGGCTCTGTTGAATGCCTATGTTCCCTATTCCTACCTGACCATGGAAGAGTGTCGAAAAATCCTGGGACCGCCTGATCCCATCTATGGAGGTCCTCCCTTCAAAGTCAGAATGCGGACCATTTTCTAAGCTCCTCAGAGTATCT